TCTGGGTCCTGCCACCGCCCCCCGCCCCTGCCCTCCGCCCGGGGATCCTCACGAGTGCCGTGTGGGCGCGACACGTTTCCGTCTGGATTTGCCTGAACCTGACCCTGTTTCTGGCCCTGAACTCAGTCGCTAACCCGCGCTGTGATTTCCCTGGCCTGCCTCATCCCCTTGGAGGGACTTTTAGAGAGGGCAATAACCAGTTTTGTAAAATACGAATTGTATTACAAGGTGAAGTGCGCTATCGAGAGAAACCCAGCCCTGAATAGACAACGGGGCACCTTAGGTTAAAAGACAGATTCCATTGGATACCAAGTGCCAAGGCCCCAAAGCAGTTTACCTGAGGGGTGAACTTTAAGGACTAGATTTGTTGGTTTGTATCTGAGTCAGAGTCTCGCTTTGTAGTTCAGGATGGCTTTGAACTATGATCCTCCTGCCTCAGCCTCCTAAGTGCTGGAATTACAAGCCTAATGTCAACGCCTAAAGTCCAGGCTTGCAGCTGCTGGCTGGGTAAACTGTGAGAGGATCCCCAGGTGTCTGCCCACCCTTCTGGAAAGAAAGGACCTTAGGGAACATAGCTGCTTAGCAAGACAGTGGAGGTGAACCTTAGCGACATTACAAGAATCCTAGCTGTGTGAAATGGTGCTGCCTTGCTTTCCTGGTCCCCTGTCTGAAGGGTGCTGGTGTGGTGCTGGTGTGGGTCCCAGGGAATGTGGGGTGGCCCTGTCCTGGGTTACACAACTGAGCTCAGGGTTGTGCAGTGTGGCCGCGTGGTGTTTGTTTGGGGGAAGGGGGATGGCCCTTCCCTCCTCCCCAGCGGCAGGGCTAGCATGGTAGCTGCCCTGCCTTTCCCTCACAATTCCTTTCCCTCATGTTCCTGCCAGTCTCTGACCTGCACAGCAGGGCCTGCACTCCTGAGGGATAAGCACACTTTCTAGGAGATTCCCTGGTTGCCCGCAGATTGGGCCCTGAGTCTTGTGACAGAAGCAGGAGTTTTGCTCTTTTAGCATTTGAGGAGGTGATGAACAGACTGAGGAAGTTTGGTGCACTTCAAGGAGCTCCTTGCTTCTTCAGGCTGTGAGGTTCTGTGAGGTGATGTTTCTGAGTCTTCTCACCCTGGGTACTGTGGGTTTCCTTAGGGATTCCCAGGAAGGCTCTGTGTGCCCCCTTGGCTGTGGCCTGGCTGCTCTGGGACTGAGGGGGCTGCAGGAAGCTGTGGTGTGAGCAGAGGTCTGTTGAGAGCCATGCGGTGCTCCCCTGGAGCCCCACCATGGCCGGGCTTGGGCTGGGCAGCCTGGCGCAGAGATGGCTGACTTCGTGCTTCTGGTTCTGGTTCTGGGGGAACTGGGAAGCCTCAGCTTACTAGAAAGCATGATCATGGCTTTGGCTCTAGTGCTTAGTCTTCTCAGGAGGGTGGATGTGCTCCTTGTGGGTACATATTCCTCTTCCCAGCTTTCCTGCCTGGGGGGACTTGCTGCACCAGTGTCCCTGCAAGGAAGCCAGGAACAGGCCCAGCAAACGCCCCAGGGGGGAGATCAACCCCGTCCTGGACTTCCAGGTCTAGTGGGGTACGAGGAGCCCCGAGCATCTTCATCTCAGCCTTGGGGGATTTTTTTTTTCCCCATTTAGGACCTAGACATTGTCACAGCAGCTAACCCCACCAGCCCAGGGAATCCCTGGAACAAACTCTAACCTAAGCAGAGGCACGTGGGGCCCTTGCTCCGGTGTCAGCATGGGCCTTCTGAAGATCCGGGGGGCCTGAAATGCCTGTTACTATGTCCAGCCCGGAACTGGAATGTCTGCTCCCACAGACTGCCGAGGGTTAAAATCCCACTGGTAGCAGGGCTTCCTCCTTACCAGTGGTGGAATGTTTCATGTGCTCTCCACCCTCTGTAATTTAAAACCAGTGGAAAATTCAGCAGCCTTATTTTTATTGGCAGAGTGACATGCAACAGGATATGAGATGAAACTCCAGCATTAGCACATGAATATCTTGCCTTTCTAATATAATAGTATTTAAAACCTGCACTGAAGTATCAAGGAAAAGAAAAATAGGCTTGGATGTAGCTTGCTATAAAGGCTTTTGCCTAGGATGTGGGAGGTCCTAGGTTCCATTCCCCAGGCATCACAAAAAGCAATGAAAATGGGTAAGCTCTGGTGCAGGGCCTTTAAAAGAGTGGGGAGACCTCAGACATATTTGCTGCTGAGCCTCTCACGTGGGCACAGACCTGCCCACATTTGTGTGCTGCTGCCCTCCTGGGCCCTTCCTGTGCTCAGAGGGTACCCAAGCCCCTTCCTCACAGGACTGCTGACTGCTGCCACCAGGTCTCACCCCTGGCCAACAAGTGACAGCTAGGGACAGCCCCAGCCTGTAAAACCTCAGAGTGTACTTCCAAGACTACTTGGATTTGTGTCTTCCTGGGTCACAGTCCTAATTAGTCCAAAATAAATATAACCTTACTTTTCTGCACTGTGGTGACTTTATCCTCCGTGGACTGAGATTGATAAATGAGTTGTGTGGCCTTTAAACACAGTGGAAGTAGCTGCCCCTCTCTAAGGGGCCAAGGCCAGTGGTGTTGGGGACTGAGGCCTGGAGGAGCAGTGCCTGTCCTGAGGTTACAGCTGGCAAGGGGAGGGCCTGGCATGAGTGTGTGCTTTCCCTGACTGGTGGGAAACTCCAGTGGGCGCCTGTCACAGAGCCCCTCTGTCCAAGGGTCTCTGCCCTGACTTTACCCTGTTACACCTCTTTGTTTTGTCTGTTTCTTTTCCTTTTTGGCTGTTTTGAGTTGTTCTGCACTGTGCTTCTGGTCATGCACAGAGATAAGCAAGGACTTGGGCCTAGTATGGAGCCCGCCACAGCCCCCATAAGGGCAAGGACAGTCCCTTCTGGCCCGGTCTCCTGGCCCAGCCTACCACCCGCCTGAGTGAGTCAGTGTGTGGGGCTGAGCCATCAGAGGGCCCGGGGGCCTTGCTGGGCACTGTACCAGGAGTGAGCAGCAGGAAGGTGTGGCTTCAAGCCGTCTGCTTCTCCCGGCAGGCGCCATTCCCGTATGAGGCTGGGAGGGCTAAGGGTGAACTGGGAAGCTCGCGGTTGCTGGGTCAGCCTCATGCTGCAGTTCTCTCTCACTCCCTCTGCCCTACAGTTTCAGCCCAAAGGGGCAAATATCCCCCAGAAGGAGCCCCAGGTTCTCCTGCTGAGCCTGCGTCACCAGATGCTGCACGGTCTTTCAGGAGACAGAGCCAGTGTACCCTCCGCCCTCGCCGTGTCAGGGCTGTGCCTACTCCTGGCCTCTGTTCAGATAGATATGGGCACCCAACTCTGGAGTGCCCGTGGCCAAGGTCAGGAAAGGGCTGAGTCATCATTAGCTGGTGCTTTCCTGCACTTTCAGAAGCATTTTCTGACCAAGGCCTGGGTTGGGTGTTGAGGAGTCCCTCCCAGGATGCTGGGGGACCATCTCTGAACCTGAGCCTCACCTGTGTAGCCCCAACCCCTGATATTCTCAATGCAGCCAGAATCCTGGCTCCCCAGGCTTCTCCTAGGAAGACCTGCATACACCCATGAAACCTCTGCCTGGAGCTTACATGCTAGACTGAACGAGTTAGTCACTTGTCAAGGAGAATTCAAGCTGGGTGTCATGGCACCCACTTGTAACCCCAGCACTTGGGAGGCTGAGGCAGGAGGATCATTGCGAGATCAAGACTAGCCTGGGCTACAAAGTGAGCTCAAGGCCAGCCTGAACTGCAGAGCGAGACCCTGTCTCAAAAAGACAAAAAAAAAAAAAAAAGTTCAGCCGTCTTCTTGTTCAAAAGTTCTATTAATTCTCTCCACTGTCATCCAAATAAATTCTCAAAGTCATTCCTTCATTGTTTAATGAGTGTCCAATAAATGCTTGGTGGCCTAGAAGAGAATGGAGCAGACTTGGTCCGATTGGGACTATCTCTGTGACATGGAGAGTGACAGAATATAGGGCACTGGGTCAGGAGGGAAGCTGGATCCAGTCAGCAGAAGGAAGTGGGAGCTGAGACTGAGCCTGCAGGAGGGAGTGTGGTGGCACTGTGGCCTGAGCCAGGGCCAGGGAAGTGGCCAGCAGATCACGACCTTGGTGGTCTCCTTAGCCAGGTTGCATTGCCACAAGGGCACTAGGAGCTCTTCAAGGACAATAGTATGATGGAGTCAAGGCTGTGTTTCCAGAAGACCGCTGGCTACCGAGTGCAGTGTTGGGGCAGGGTGGAGCCCATACATCAGGCAGGGATCCCGGGCCTTTGGGGTGTGAGGAAGGATGGATTCGGGTCGAGCTCTTAGGGTTGCTTGGTAGGATGAAGGAGAAGGACCTTGAGGAGGCTCCTGGAGGCTCGAGGGGGCCTGAGGGAGGCAAACCTAGGGGCACGGACCACGGGGCATTTCAGATACACTGGAGGAGGCCTGGAGACACTAAGAAAACTGGCTGGAGGTGGGTGCTGAGGCCTGAGACAGGCATGCAGCGGGCTCTGTGGAGTGGCAACCAGGCCCTGCCTGGACACAGACCTGGGCAGAGCAGCCTGTAGTGTCAGTTTCCTGTTGCATGCTCACCATCAGGTATTCACAGGTTTGTGATAAACCTTAGTCCAGGGGCTTCTCAGGCAGAAGAATTGCCTTGGGCAGCAGACTCCTGGGCAGTGGCTTGAATGTCCAGGAAGCTCTGGTGCTGTGAATGGATGACTCCTTTTGAAATAGAATCTCAAGGGAGAATTTCTTGCCCTTAG